TTGGAAACAAAGATAAACAGAGTCCATACATCTGTATCCCACACAGATAGTTTTGCTTCTTTGTTCCTATCATACCTTATCCCAGGAAAGGGTTTAGCTAAGGCAAAGAAAGGATGTATTATTTTCACATTATAGATGAAGCCTCTGAAATTCAGAGAGGTAGAGTGATCACACCACGACTTCTAACATGCAAGGAGTGGACTGGACACTTAGGTTCCAAGTTCCTAGAGAGGCATCCATCCTGATAATGCCCAAAGAACTAATCAGATGTGCCAAGGATAGAAATCTCGGAATGACCTTGTAAACTTTCCTATTTGAAAGACTTTACAAGCATAAAAAAAGAAATTATTAAGAACAAAATGTACATATTGAGTTGTCATCCAGATTCAGTCCTGTTTCACTACCATGTGGCTCGCACAAGGCTCAGCACCACAGGGCAGAGGAAGATCACAAATAAACATTTTTTTTTGAGTAAATGAAAAAGTAAAAATGGGAAGCTATTATCCTGAAAGATACCCTAAGGTGACACTGCCATCGTAACGAAAGGTAACTTCTCGTAGATCCAGCTAGAATACAACAGACTACTACAGAAAGATTTTCTAAACTATTTTTAAAGAGATTTGTTATTACGCAAATATATTTTGTGTCTAATCCAGTCAATAACTCAAAAGGTAAAACAGGCAGTAGTTTGGGAGAATATAAACATTCATCCTAATGCAGACTTGGTTACAAACCAAGGGAACTGTTTCTTTGAACTACATCATTTCAAGTGTAAGGCCCAAAAGAATTAATCAGATGTGCCATAATATCAAATATAATATATTTAGAAATTTCTCACTTGAAAATAATTTTAAAAGTATGGAAGAGTTCAAGAAACACTCATGCATCCCTTACCAGACTTCACTATCACTGCTTGCCTTGAAATGTACTTTTTATTCATCCATCTATCTATGTATCCATATATTTTTCTAAACCATTAAGATATTATATATGTTATTGCCCTTGACCCTTATATCTTCAAAGCACATTTTTAAAGAACATTTTCCTTCACATCACAATAATCCATTTCAGCAAATTCAATAATATAACAATACTTTTTGCTACTCATATTCCTTATGCAAATTGAGTTAATAATATATTTATAGTTTTCCCTGCTCTTCTGTGTAGGATCCAGTTTAAGACCAGTTATTGCAGTTAGTGCCATTTAATCTGCAACATTTCTGTATTATTTCTTAAATTACATTGACAATTTTTTTTATTTTGGTGCAAAAAATGGAAATCTATGCACTATGCATTATTTTTCATAATATGCATTTTCTGTGAACTTTTTGAAGACCTTTTTGGATTTGGATTTCTTTTTTTTTTTTTTTTTGACAATTTGACATTGACAATTTTAAAGAATATAGTTCCTTTTTTCTATTTAATAGCATGTCCTTCATTTTAGATTTGTCTAATGTTTCGTCATGATTAGGCTCAGGTTACATACTTCCAGATGGAATGCTACATACATGATATTGTGTCCTTCTCAGGTTATCACATCCAGAAGCACTTATCATCCATCTGCCCCTCAGGGAGGCTTTTAATTCTGATCACATGGTAGAGATGTTGTATGGTTTCTCCATTATCTAGTTATTATTTTTTCCCTGAAACTAATAAGTCTGTGGAGAGATACTTTAAACCTATGAAACAGCCTATGCCTCCTTAAGGATGAATTTTTATAACAGCATTTTCTTTTTTTTTTTTTTTTTTTTGACAGGCAGAGTGGACAGTGAGAGAGAGAGACAGAGAGAGAAAGGTCTTCCTTTGCCGTTGGATCACCCTCCAATGGCCGCCGCTGCAGCCGGCGCACCGCGCTGATCCGATGGCAGGAGGCAGGATCCAGGTGCTTTTCCTGGTCTCCCATGGGGTGCAGGGCCCAAGCACCTGGGCCATCCTCCACTGCACTCCCTGGCCATAGCAGAGAGCTGGCCTGGAAGAGGGGCAACCGGGACAGAATCCGGCGCCCCAACCGGGACTAGAACCCGGTGTGCCGGCGCCGCAAGGTGGAGGATTAGCCTATTGAGCCACGGCGCCGGCTTATAACAGCATTTTCTTATTGTTTTAAACAGTGACCTCTATCTAGCAAGAGAAATCTAATTTCACTTATTATACTTGAACTTTGTCAGTTTTAGTATCTGTTTTTATTACAGTAGTCCATACACACTGGGTATTTACTAAAAACTATTCATTGACTGTCTGCTGTCTGAGTAGGATATGGGCTATGTGCTGTGCTTTGGATTCCATAAAAATAAATCTCTTCATGTTATACTACAGAGGGGTTTAAAAATTAAGTTATAAAACGGCAAGAATGTTTTTTTTAAAGAAAAGAAAACTGTAAAAGAATCTAGTCTATTTATTCAAATTAGAAATGGATTCAGTTACAATGATATTGATCGTTCTCCAGCCTTTTCTAAGCAGCATGATTTCGAGGTGAGCTTCAATTCAAAGCTTTTTAAACTTGAATGAAACACAGCCAGCTTATCTAAAATGCTCAAATGGTTAGGTGGCTTTAGGTGCTGGGTTTAGCAACAAAAATAAAGAAACTTTTGGAAAGCTGGGCAAAAAATTTTTTTGAAAAATCTAAAAAGTCATTTTTAAATTAAAAAAAAAAAAGCTTTTAACATGCCTCCTTACTCATTTTGCTTCCATGGCTCTCAGCACTATAGGAGAACACGTTTCACAAGCCAGTCAGCACACTGAACAAGGATATCACTAGTTCAGTAATTCTCTCAAAGAAGCCAAGAAATGGTGGTGATGAGGAAGAGGTAGTCCTGAGGCCTACTCTATTTTCTCTTTTCAGCCCAGCTTCTCTTCTGTAACTTAGTCTTACTTACAATGCAATAAAATTCCAGCTTTTATGACAAACGGATGTTTTTGTTTTGTTTTGCTTTTTAAGTCTAGAATTCAGCAGCCAAAACACAAGTGTTTTTGTTTTTTAGTTCACAGGCTCAGGAAGAAAGTGAGGGGAATTAACTTTCTGCAAGGTAGATCAAACACATAATTTACAAGTGTGGCAAGAGCAGTGGCTGTATCTGCTGTCCCAATCAAGAATACCAGCTGGAGAATTTACCAACAGCATGAAAACTGCGCCTACTAGATGTCAAGCCATAGCAACGGGAGGCCACACATCTTTGGGATCAGCACAGACTCCACTCTTTTTTACCCATATTTCATCTAAAATGGTGAGGTGTCTTCCACAGGCCACCAGCAGGGAAAATGAGAGCAGTTCCACACAAGGAACGTTGTAACATGACCATATCCCATCAGCTGGCTTCAGTGTTAAAGGCAACCTCATGAATCTTTTTATTATTATTATTATTAAGCAATCTTAGTTCAGCATCAACACTGAAGGAGTGAGAGAAACTCAAATGGCTCCAAGCCATTCTCGTGCACGGATTCTTGCAGCTTACGAGGCTTGCTTTATATCTGGGAACTGTTTTGTCACTGAGAAGAAATGAATGTTCTAAAAATACTTAGTGGAATAACCACGTTCCCACTCATTCTTTAATCCTTTGCTATTCATCATGGTAGCCACTAGCAACTTGAGGCTATTTAAATCGAAATTAAGATCGAAAAACTCAGTTCTTTAGTCAAATTAGCCACATTTCAAGTGCTCAACAGCCACACGTGACTAGTGAACACCATACTGAACGGTATAGACAGAAAATATTTCCATCATTATAGAAAATGCTGCAAGACAGTGCTAAAACCTTAAATCACCTTTACAATGGGTAATTCTAATTCCCTTCTCCTAACAGTATGGAATAAAGCAATCTTTATGCATTCTCTTATGAAACAGGTCTATGACGAGGAAGTCTTCAAAAAAGTTGATGGAAAATGTATACTATGAGAAAACTACACATGGATTACAAAAATCTTTTGCTCCAAAATAAACTTCCCATTTAATTCCATTTTCCATGAGTTTTTGGAAGCCTCTTGTAACAGCCAATCTTTGTCTGATGAGATGTCCTTATACACAGAAGCCCTGTGAAGCCACTGGCATGCTGGATAATGGACAGAGGACAGTTCGAATGAACATTACGTGACAAATGAGCAATAAGCTATTCTTTATTATATTTATACTTTATTTATTAATGATTCAGTCTGTGTCAGACGGTTTATAACAGTTTTCTTCCTTTGTATTTTCAAATGTCCAGAATAAATCACTTCTTGTAAAGAAGAGGCTGCTCAATTTCACATCACAGTTTTGCAACTTGTACTCTAATGCCAAGTAAACATCAGATACCATAGCTACTTCTAAAAATGTTATAAACAAGATGAACATGAACCCAATATAAAATAAAATCTACAAATGGTATTTCTTACTCCCAGAATCCACTACCATGAGCCCAGAGAAGACAAGCAACTCTAGAGGTGATGCACGGACACCTACATGATTGCTACGACTCAGTGAGGGATGTGTGTGCCTGTGGCACACAAGGCCAAAGAACGTTGACTCTGCCCACAAAGGCATCACACCTGGGCATGCCAAAACACGCTGGCACATAAGCCAGCTCATTTGCAAGCAGGTCAGCCACCTCTGCCATCAAACGCACAAGGAATGCTTCGCAGGGGCTAAGCTTTCTTTGCCTCAGTTGCCTTTAACTACTATAACATCCATTACACAATTACCCAGTTATGTCACCACATCAGCTTCATTCTCATTTTCCATTCCCAACCCCCAATTTCCTCTTTGCTAGTTCTTTATAATGAACAAACAGGAACAAGTTGGAAAAAATAAAAGGTTTTTCCTCATCCTCACTTGCTTTGTCACTGAAAGCAAAAAAGAACTGCAATTTTTCTTTGGGATCATTAACTGTTCTTAATCAGATTCTTTTAAAGACCATCTAGCTACTGCCAGTGAAAGGCTGAAAAAAATCCATCCATATCAATGTAGCTGCTTAGAGCCTTGTTCAATGGCAACAGGGTTCTCAGGTTATGACCTAGTTTTTCCCACTTACCTTGGCCTTCCCATCCTGGGCTGACATATATCCAACACACATGCTCTCAGTCGTGTGGCTCCACAGAAACTCCACTGCCATGAAAGAGAACACAAATAGGCACATTCAGATCACAGATGGAAAATAAATCTTTGCTTTTTAATAGAACAGTTAAAGATAGCTTTATATTTAACACACTCAGTTCCCCCACTTTCCATTTGCTCCTTCATAAATGTCAAGATGATTTAGTGCTCAAAACTGTGTAATGCCATTTACTGAGAAATGAAAAATGTATTTCTTTCTTGTCAAAACTTATGATTATTACATGTAAAATAAATGCTCTTCTGTTTGAAACTTGTAACATTAAACATGCACACACAAACTAATACATACTGTACATGGTGATTTAGTAAATGTAATATTCCATAGGATAGTTTCTTTTCAAATTCACATACACACACACACACACACACACATACTGTCTTGATTTCTAAATATCATTCTCCATGAAAGGGAAACAGGGTTCCTTAGAAAAATGTCAATTCCAGAAACAGGAAAGAGAAAATAATAAATGAATCTTGCGCCAGAATGCAAGGAAATGCCCAAAGAATGAAGAGGCCTTGTGAAAGGCACACAGTTCAGCTTGAAGGGCCCCCACTAGCCAAATCGGTGCCTATCAAAACAAATAACGTTACAAATGAACTATAACCACTACAAAAAGAAGAACTAATGAGTCCACACTACCCAGACAAGTAAGTTAGTAAATGAAGAAGCCAAAGCTCTTCCCTTGTAACACAATGTCAACTAATAAATAGAGAAGAAAGCAGGGGCCAGTGCTGTAGGCGTAGCTGGTAAAGCCACCGCCTGCATTGCTGGCATCCCATATGGGCACCAGTTCAAGTCCCGGCTGCTCCACTTCCAATCCGACTCTCTGCTATGGCCTGGGAAAGCAGTAGAAGATGGCCCAAGTCTTTGGGCCCTTGCTCCCACTTGGGAGACCTAGGAGAAGCTCCTGGCTTTGGATTAGAACAGCTCCAGCCACTACAGCCATCTGGCCATCTGGGGAGTGGATCAGCAGATGGAAGACCTCTCTCTCTCTCTCTGCCTCTCCTTCTCTCTGTGTAACTGTGACTTTCAAGTAAAATAATTAAATCTTTAAAAGAAAAAAAAAAAGAAGAAAGAGCTAGAAAGCCATTCTAGCTGCTAAAACTGGTGAGTAAAAATTGAAGATGGACAGGCTATATTTACATAGTCTCAACATATTTCCTTATAAAACTTTTATTAAACATAAAGGTGCAAAAATGTAAGTAAACTGTGGAAAAAATGTGATGGATTTCAACTTAACCATATGATCAGAGCTAACATCACCAACTAGAGCACAAATTCACACTATGGGCCTTCTGACAGGACGCCTTAACACACAACACCACTTCTACAGCATTCCTCCCAAAACAGTATGAGCAGAGTGGAATGAGGAAACACCAAGCAAACCTAATATACTAAACAATTGGTTCAAGGTGGCCATTTGGCCCAGTTTAGACACATCCCATACTAGAGTGCTGGGTGTAAGTCCTGGCTTCACTTTTTTTTAAAACTTTTTTTTTTTTTTGGACAGGCAGAGTGGACAGTGAGAGAGAGAGAGAGACAGAGAGAAAGGTCTTCCTTTTCCGTTGGTTCACACCCTCCCCAATGGCCGCTGCAGCCGACGCACCGTGCTGATCAGAAGCCAGGAGTCAAGTGCTTCTCCCGGTCTCCCATGCGGGTGCAGGGCCCAAGCACCTGGGCCATCCTCCACTGCACTCCCGGGCCACAGCAGAGAGCTGGACAGGAAGAGGGGCAACCGGGACAGAATCCGGTGCCCTGACCGGGACCAGAACCCGGTGTGCCGGTGCCACAGGCGGAGGATTAGCCCACTGAGCTGTGGCGCTGGCCCTGGCTTCACTTCTAATTCTAGCTTCCTGCTAATGTGCACCTTGGGAGGCAGCAGGTGATGGCTCAAGCAGTTGGGTCCCTTACACCCACATGGGAGACATGGACTGAGTTCCCAGTTCCTGGCTTTGGCCTGCTGAGCCCCAGTTGCTATAGGCATTTGGGGAATGAACCAGCAGATGGGAGATCGAAAGGTATCTGTTTCTCACTCTTCTTAAATACATAAACAAAATAAATAACTGTTTCAAGCTCTTCAAAAATGCAAGTGAGAAAACAGAAAGAAAGCTGAGAAACAGTTCATTTAAAGGAGGCATGACTAAATACAATGTGTCATCCTGGATTGTATTCTAAACAAAAGGTTGGGGGATATTATAAAGGGGCAGCATCAAGATAATTGACAGACTTTTCAAAAGGACTATGTGTTAGACAGCAATGTTGTACCAATAGTAAATGTTATGATCTTGATAAATATACTCTGAATATTTTTTAAAGATTATTTATTTGAGAGGCAGAGTGAGAGAGAGAGGAGGAGGGGGAGGGGGAGGGGGAGGGAGAGAGAGAGAGAGAGAGAATGAATCAATCTTCCATCTGCTGGTTCACTCCCTAAATGGCCACAATGGCTAGGGCTGGGCCAGGCTGAAGCCAGGGGCTTCTTTCAGGTCTCCCACATGGGTGCAGGAGCCCAGGCACTTTCAGCCATCTTTCACTGCTTTTCCAGGCCATTAGCAGAGAGCTGGATAGGAAGTGGAGCAGCTGGGACTCACACCACGCCCATATGGAATGCTGGCAGCGAAAGCAGAGGCTTAACCTACTATGCCACAGAGCCAGTCCCTGAATATTTAGAATAACATCCTTGTTCTTAAGAATTACACATTGAAGAATTAAAAGACCCTGAGATTGCCACCTTCCTCTCAAATATTAAAAAAAAAAAAAACAGTGTATGTGTGTATGTATAAAACAGAGAGAGAGAAAGAGAGAAACGGGGAGGGGAAGAAAGAGGGACAGAAAGATAAAAACGGGAAAAATGAAAACCACAGGTGAATCCAGAAGAAATCATGGGTGTCCTTCGCACTATTCTTGCAACTTTTCTGTAAGTGTGAAATTAAATCTTAATGAAAAGTTATAAAAAGAAAAATTCAAATATATATGGATATGTACAAAAACTCATCTTCAAGTACATGTTTTCAAAATTCTGAGTTTTTTCTCAGGCATTTTTGATGTTAAGTTTTGATGTCGTTCTCCAGTCCCTGATAATAAAACTACATGGCTCAGCACTAAACCCTTCCTGTCCCAGGCTAGTCATCTGTTTATATCTCTGAGCTAATTAAGCCTGAAGATGAGGGTTTGAGTTGAGGCACAAGCCTGAGATCAGTGCTCCTGGACTCTGAAGGCTTTGCCAGACATGTGGGGAGGAAAGAAGCAGTAAAGGGCAAAACTGAGTTCCTCAGATACATGGCTCATTCCCTCATCATTAATTAATTATCAGACCTGCCAACCTGCTCACCAGACGCTCTGCTGAGGAGTGCAGGGACACAGCATCACGCAAGGCAGAGTTCTCTCCACCAGATGTTTCTTCTTCCCCACACGTCTGCTTTGAACTTCAAATATCTTGAAGTCCAGAGCAAGGTCTGGGATATTCTAAATCGCTTAACACAGCAAAGGCACTTAAGTCTAACTGAAGTTCCCTACACTGGTGACAACAAATTATATTCAAACACAAAGTTAAGGCATTCCTAAAATTGCAGCTTCTTCGTGTACTTCAAATATTAATGTGGCAAATGTGCAGGAACTGATTTTTTTAAACCCTACAGAAATCTTGAAAGTGAATTATAAAAACATACCTTTTCAAAAGAGGCAATTAAAAAATTTAAACTCATTATTCTCCCTAAAATTATAGCCTTCTTTTCAGAAATTCAACTTTCCTGGTTTCAGATACCAAGAGGTTTGAAATAAAAATGTTTCAGTGGGGAGTGAAGAAAAGAGCAGTCTCTTTCAATGATGGTGGCATGTGGTTATTTGGAAATACACTGTCATAATTTCTGGCAGCTATATTCTGTTAGGTGGCAATGAACACAGATTTACAGATGAGGACAGACTTTGATTGACTTCATCAAATAGCTTTTTTTTTTTTTGCCAGGCAGAGTTAGACAGCGAGAGAGAGAGAGAGAGACAGAGAGAGAGCTATAGACAGTGAGAGAGAGACAGAAAGAAAGATCTTCCTTCCGTTGGTTCACCCCCCAAATGGCCGCTACGGTCGGCGTGCTGCACCGATCACGAAGCCAGGAGACAGGTGCTTCTTCCTGCTCTCCCATGCGGGTGCAGGGCCCAAGCACTTGGGTCATCCTTCACTGCCTTCCCAGGCCACAACAGAGAGCACTGGACTGGAAGAGCAGCAACCAGGACAGAATCCAGCGCCACGACCAGGACTAGAACCTGGGGTGCCGGCGCCGCAGGTGGAGAATTAGCCTAGTGAGCCGTGGCGCCAGCCCAAATAGCTACTTTTATATTGAAGGATTTTCAGTTACATTTCTAGATAAAGAGTTTGATTTTTTTTTTTTTTTTTTTGACAGGCAGAGTTAGACAGTGAGAGAGAGAGAGAGAGAGAGAGACAGACAGACAGAGAGAAAGGTCTTCCTTCCGCTGCGCCGATCCAAAGCCAGGAGCCAGGTGCTTCCTTCTGGTCTCCCAAGTGGGTGCAGGGCCCAAACACTTGGGCCATCCTCCACTGCCTTCCCAGGCCACAGCAGAGAGCTGGACTGGAAGAGGAGCGACTGGGACTAGTACCCAGCGCCCAACAGGGACTAGAACCCAGGGCGCTGGCGCCGCAAGCAGAGGATTAGCCTAGTGAGCCGTGGCGCCGGCCTAAGTTTAGTAGTTCCTAAAGAAAGTAACCCAGTTTTTAGAAATGCATTCTTTACTGTATTCATATATACTTATTATCCCTGCCTCATCCCAAAATGGTAATGTATTGTACTAACACATTATTTTTAAATACCAATCAATCAGCATATAGTGATAAGCTATTAATTCAGCTCAGCTTTAGAAATTCCAAAGAAATATCTATGATCTATAGACTGTTTTAGAAAAATCCATTGTGTTATTTTCATTTCATGAATAAGACAAATTAGTAAATTATTTCTTAGTTAAGTACTTTAAGGAGGCAGGA